TTTTCCTTGAGTTCTATCAAACCTTGAACAAACAAATACTTTTTATATTAGTTAAGCTATTCTATAGCATATACAAAAAGATTGCCAACTCATTTTTCCAAGTTCATATAATCCTTTTACTTCCAACCTGACCAAAGTCATATAAAATAAAGTCACAGAATATATTCAATATTAAATATTGATAAGTAATATCTTCCATCTTATAGTAAATCAAATCCAGAAACACAATAAAAAATAGCAAACCATGATAAATGCGGTTTACTCTAGGAATGCAAGATTAGTTTTTCATTAGGAAAACTTTGAGAGGTCAAGGAAATAGAAGAAAGATATAATTATTTTTAATATGGAAAAAGAGTATTTAATGAAGCCTAACTAATTCAGCAAAAACATTTAAAAAATAAACTTTCATTTGAAGAATTATTTCTTAACACAGTAGATAAAATCTTTATGATGTCAACATCCGATAAAATATACAATTGTGAAATGCAATTGGGATTTAAAGTCTGAAAATTTTAGCCAACATTAAAAAAACACACAGAAAGATATAATGGCTATAAGTATTAAAAAAGAGGATAGAAATGATCATTAACTATGAATACTACAATATCTTAAGTAAAAACGACTTCAAAATTAACTGGAAAAAGTATTAGGGCTAATAAAATGTTTCTTTAAAGTGGAAGGATAAAAAATAAATCTACAAAACCTATTGAAAAACTATTGTTTTCTTCTAAACTAATATTTCTTGACCTTTCTGGGGGAGTGAGGGAGAGAGAGTTACAGGCCTCTGTGGATGCTAGTTATATGCTTTCTCCTATAGAAAACCTATTGACAAGCACATAGTTCAACAGAAGCCCGTGGTCCATCAACTATAGGTTCACTGATCTAGAGTAAACAGAAACAATTTATAAAATGTAACAGAAAAGCATTTGATTCAGAAGGGAAACAAAACTTGAAAATGCTGAGAAAGAAGTTCACAAACACTATAAGAGACTGATCTCAAGAAAAGAACACAATCTTACTGAGGCACATAAAAGAGAAGTGATATATCCTTAAATAAGAAAATAAGCACAGTAAAAAATGCACTGTCATTGTTTCTGAGGTCAATCTGTTTTTTTCACACAACTCAAGTGAATATTCCAAGTACATTTTGGAGCACAAAAAAATTATTTAAAATGTACATGGTTGGAAAAATCCATTAAAGACCAAGGAGATTTTCACCCAAGATTAGAAATGAGGAAGAATTTGCCCCCCAGATGTTAAAACTAATTAAAATAATGTGGTCCGAGTATAGAAACAGACAGAAAAACATAACAGAATAACAACAGAATAGAATACCCAGTAATAAATTCAAGTTTATCAAAGAGTTTAACTTTTCAAGAGGTTGGTAAAAGATATTTCACAACGGTAATGGAAAAACTGGCTAATCAACTGAAGAAAAATGTTGGCGGCTGGTCTTATAGTTTACATAATAATAAATTAAAGAAGAAGTAACGATTTAAATTTAAAAAAGAAGTAAAAATACTATAGGTAAAGGTAGTCATAAAAAGAACAATGAATTAAATAAATAAGTAAATAAATATTACCCCAGACCTAAGAAAAAATTAAAAAACAAAAAGAACAATGGCAGCCCAGTCACAATTATTAACAGGGATACTAAATGTCTACATAATATATAGAAACTAAAATTAAGATATACATTAGAAGAAAATATCATAGCCAAATATAACCAGAAATACAAGAATAGTCCAATACCAAAAATGTTTTTAGTAAATTTCACTGTCCTAGTAGGTAAAAGAAAAAAATGACCATTTAAATAGATGGCAAAAATGAACCTGACTAAATTGAACATTTATTACTGATTTCTTCTAAGTAAATAGCTGGACTTCCTTGTTATAATCTCATTTCCAAATGATGATACATGTAAAGTTAGGAACAAGACCATCCTTGATGTTTTCAGGAAATCATGTGTAGTAGTTACTAAATTATTCTAATGTATTTAAATTGACTTACACAGTTCTTTATACTAATAAAGTAACCTACAAAATTTGTTATAGTTTGCCAATTGTTCAAACTGATGAAGCTAAGAAATTTTGGAAGAACAACATGATATAATGTAATATACAGTAGCTGGACAAAATTTAGAATTCAGAATCTTAATGCTAGTTCTGCCAATGACTAGTTATTTGACCCCAGAAAGTTACTGAAACTCTTTGAACCTCAGTGTCCTTATCTGTAAAACAGAAGTAACAGCAGCCAAGATAGAGTACACTTGCTACTGTCTATATCTCTTGCTGATTACAACAAAAAACTTCGAATAAAGTAAAAAAGTAAATGAGTGAAGACTGAAAAGTAAACAAAGCTGGTGGATTGGGGAGGAAAGTTAAAACCTGCAGAAATGACTGCACAATGGTGAGTTCTAGGATTCCCCCACTTCCTTTCCTTTACGGCTTTAACCTGAGGATAAATCTTAGTCACATGATAGTGGCCTGGGATGTCTCCTAAAAGGGCAAGAAAATCTCCATATTTCTGGGAATCCCTGGGAAAAGGGGGCCATATGGTTTAAAGAATATGGGAAGAATCCTCATTTTTACTTCTCTTTTATTACTCCTGACTTTGCCAAGGGTGGCCTCCGTGGAGAACTGGATGACAGCAGTGTGGGTGGTCAAAACTCCAAAAGAAATCCCATTTTTTTCTTGCTAAAGAACTTGGGAAGGAAGGCCTTAGCAATCCAGACAGTGTGAGGGGGATCTTGGAGAGAAGGGATCTTGGAGAAAAGGACTTCTCTAATTCTGCATATAAAACTGTGCAAGTCCTAGGCTTATCCTGGAACTGCATGTGTGCAGCTGTGGACTAAGGATCCAAAAGACTGTAGGAAAGATTGAACTGTCAGGGAAACCACAAAAAAGATAGAACTTGTCTTTACCCACAAAAGAGATAGAACTTGTGGTCTGAATCTAGCCAGGGTGATTGCTTACTGAAGCAAACAAAGGAAAAAAAATCCCTTTCCATAGGATTTAAATATGATCCAGAATCTAAACAACACAAGATTCAAAAACTGTCATGATATACTTTATTTTGACGTACAAAGCACCTTAGAAAACGTGATCAATTCTGAAGGAAAAAGACACCTGAGATGCCAATCCTGAGATGTTGAAATTATAAGATAAATTTTAAAGCAGCTACAATAACTATTCTCGATGAGGTAAAGGTCAACACACTTGAAATGATGGAAAGATAAAATTCACAGCAGAGAAAAAAAAACTTTGAAAAAGAACCAAATAAAAATTTTAGAACTGAAGAACAAAATATATAACAAAAAATTAACACTGTACTCCAGACTGGGCAACAAAGTGAGACTCTGACTCAAAAAAAAAAAAAAAAAAAAAAAAATTAAGTGAATGAGTTCAACAGTAGAATAAAGATGACAGAGGAAAGAATCAGTGAGCTAGAAGACAGATCAATAGAAATTATTCAATGTGAAGAACAGAGAAGAAAGATGGACAAAGAAATGTACAGAACATCAGAGACATGTGGAATAAGGTCACAAAGATTTAACATTTGTGTCATTTGAGTCCCAGAAGGGAAGAAGAAAGTGATTGGTGCAGAAAAAAATACTTGAAAAATAATGGCTGCAAACTCCTCATATCTGGTGACAGATTTATTTATAGATTCAAGAAGCTTAGCAAAGACAAAACAAAGTAATCTGAAAGAAAACCATGCCTACAGGAGTTCTGCAGATGACTAGACACACCTCAGAGCTTCTCAAAACGCTTGGCTGATATTGAAGTCACACAGGTTTCTTGGATTTTATGATTCTCTGTTGAACAGAAGGCAGTAAGGTAAACTGGAAAGAATGTGGAGCCTGGGTAGGGCCTGAGTTTTGCTTGGTGTCCTTAGGAAGGGGAGACTGCCTCAGTTCCTCCTTCTGTTAATAAGGAATCAAAAAACTCCTGTTTTTTGAATGGGGTTTTTGTGCATCTCAAATGACATGCATGCATATAACAGACATATAATTACTGTTGAAGGAGTAACAGAAATGGAAAACTTCTACATGGCACAGAGCACTCTTTTTGTTAAAGATGGGAAATAAAGGCATGGAGAAAAATGGGGACTAGTTCAGATTTGCTGATTTGAACCAGAAAACCTTACTCCATCCTGTTAGTTATATTCTCATCTCTATATGTTATAATAGAATGTTATAGTATAAAGTCTCCTTTCCCTCCCTGTACTTGCCCTTCTTCCTTTGCTTTTTCCAATTTGTCCATATATGTCTGCCAATAATCCCATGTGTCCTGCATGGTGCTTCTCTCATATGGACTACATCATTATTTAAAAGTGCACAGTGTCATTAACAGGGAAAAGTGATCATCTCCACTCCCCAGGATACTTTCCTAACTATGAATAGACTACATATCTCTGTTACTGCTAGTTTTCATCTGCAAGTAAAATGTGATAAAACTCCAAATAATATTTTTATTAAGTTAGGTCTAACCATTCCTTTTATGGCAACAACATTCTTCTACACCTGATGCAAATTTCCATTAATTTTGCAGTACTATAAACCCTCCCATTCTATTCCTTTCCTGGGTAATTACGAATGATAAAATATTTCAAGCTCTTACCTTTCTCACATGCACTTATTATATCTCTGAAATTTTAATCCACAAAATAAATCTAATTTAAATAGAAGAAAATACAGTCCCCCAAGAAGTTGGTTTGCTAACATCTTGTTCCAAGTTAGCAACTGAGTCGACAATCAGACGTAAAATTTATCTTAATGTGATTTAGCCATTCATAAAATTTCACCAACATCAGGAATTTCTATTAAAAGTCACCATAGAGCAAACTAGCAGAACGCCATGTAAAAAGTTAAAGGCTTAGGTTAAAAGAGGGACTTATTAGATTAAAATGATCAACAGGTCAAAGCACTATGTAACAAATCTCAGGGCCACTCAGGAAGCAATGGATTATTTAATGACAGGAATGAGAAGTATCCTTACCTGTCTTCTGTCAGTTTCATTAAGGTTGTTCCTCGAGTAGAGAAGACAATAAAAGACATTCTTAGCTGTGGGCTGGAAAGAAAAAGAAGCTCAGTGAGGTCAGACAGAAAGACTATGGCATGACATTCCCGTTAGGCTTCCTCCCTGCTGTTCCCTTTCTGTCATGGTTGCCAGAGCTGAAGACTCACAACCCACAGGGGGGCATCCAAGGCTGGTGCTGCAGGTGTTGATTAGCCAGTAGTGGACTTGAAGCGTGAACCAAGAAGAAAACCTGCTGCGCCTGTCTGGAGGCTGCTTCCGACCAGACACAATCACTCAGTGAGTGTGGATTTTAAGAAAGATAAATTCCATCGTTGTCCTGTGTTCTGTCTGAAGAAGTATGCCTCTAGAAGGGGACTGGTCTGCATGTATCTATAAAGGGTGGAACCCCAGTAGATAAAATGCATGTGTCTATAAAAGGAGGACATAGACAAAATTTGACCATGTCCCCACAGTAGTCTATATATTCTATTCTATAATGAAGAGTTGCAGCTTGATGCCATCAGCCATTAACATCATACAGTTAACTACTTTTGCTCTGAAAGAGGAATGGCCTTCTAATTTCTCCTTGGCTTCCAAGGAGGCTCTCCTATAAGGAGAGAAAATGCTGACTGGACACAAGAATATCTATTCCAGTTGGTGGTTATACTTCTCATTATTAATAAGCAAACTGGCATGGTTTTTATATGGCAGCACTCAGGAGCACTGTCAACATCAATTCATGTTCTAGGAGACAGAACCACTCTCAGCTAAAAAGCAAGCACGTTTCTGAGTCTGCAAGATGAACTGTCAGACTACAGTGGATTCAGCAATGAAATGCCATCCTGTGGGACCAATTTGTTCAACTATGATACCACTAGTCTATTTCTTTACAATGCAGTAACCTCCCACACAATCTGGCTCCAAGCCTTAAAGTTCCCACTTCCCAAAATGTTTTTGAAACCTGCCCTCCCCCATCTCTTAGCATAGGACCCTGACCTCAACTATCTGACTACGGCAATTGTTTCTTTGCTGGTGACTGCCTAGCATTAATCTTGCTCCAATTCATTCTTCACACTGCTCCCAGAATTATTTTCCTAAAATTTAAATTACATCGTGGCCAGGTACAGTGGCCTATATCTGTAATCCTAGCACTTTGGGAGGCCAAGGTAGAAGGATCGTTTGAGTACAGGAGTTCAAGACCATCCTAGGCAACATAGCAAGACCTCATCTTCCCAAAAAAGTAAAAAATTAACCAGGCATGGTGATGCACACCTATAGAGCCAGCTACTTGGGAGGCTGAGGTGAAAGGATCACCGAGCCCAGGAGTTTGAGGATTTTGAGGATGTGGTGAGCTGTGATCATACCACTACAGTCCAGCCTGGGCAACAGAATGAGATCCCTGACCAGAAAAATAATAAATAAATGAACGAATAAATAAATCTTGTCACTTATCTGATATAAAACCCCTAATGGCTCCTACTACCTCCAGGACAAAGTCTAAATTTATTACCATATGTCTGATGCACCTTTGTAAGCCCTTAGCATGGTGTTTAATACTTGGTAGGAGCCAAAACAATACCTGGTGGATTGATATTGGGCTCGTGTGAAATGGACCTCAGTTTTCTGTCCATGATGGTTTGCTCCCTGATATTACCTCACCAGTGCTAGGCCAGCAGGACACTATGTCTTAAGTGATAATAATAGCAATAATAATGATTGTTTAGTACTATAATAATGGCTATCCTTATCAAGTTCCTGCTATATGCCACCATTATCGTAAGTGATTTCCATGTATGGCCTCATTACACTTGGAACTGCTCTGTGAGACTGGTACTATTATTATTCCTATTTTCCACAGAAAGAAACGAGGCCCAGAAAGATGAAGAAATTTCCCCAAGGTTACACAAGGGGGAAGTGGCAAAACTGGGGCTTGAAACCAAGTGTTCTAATTCTAGACCTTGGGCTCTTAGCCATTGTGTTATGCTGCTCCCCTTCTATCAAGTTCAGCTCTGGGAAGAAAAATTTGAAATGTGGGATATGTAGGTCTCCAAGCAGTCATTGGCATATAAGTCTAGGTAAGTGGCACAATTTTAGAGTTATTAGCATACTGACAGGGGCAAAGTTGTTCAGAGAGCATGTAATCAATAAGAAGGGAAGTGAACCCAATACAGAACCATCATTGGAAGGGCCAGCCAAGGTCAGCGAAATGATATGAGAACCAGAGATGGGAGGAGAGTTTCAAGGAAGGATAAGTCTGCATCCAACGAAACTCTTCTATGCAGCAGACTAAGGATTGCAAGAGGCTCACTGGACTTGTCCTGTAGGACATCCCTTAGTGACCCTGGTAAGAGCAAGCAGGTGGCGGGTGGGGCCAGATGGTGGCAGGTTAAGAAATGAATAAGAAGTAAGCATAAGGAGGCAGTGACTCTTTAAAGATACATGAATGAGAAATCAGTGAAGAAATAGGGTCGTATCTATATATAGGAAGGCATGATCAAGATATTCTTTGTCCTTGTTTTTTTGGGACCAGGGCAGAAGAGATGAGTTGATATCTGCAGACTGTGGAGCAGGAGAAAGGTAGAGGAACATATAAGAGAGAAACAAACACCTGGTGGAGATGGGAGACAATGAAATAAATGGGACTAAAATGGAGAGATTGGCTTTAAATAGGAGGAATACTTGGATCTCAGAGACTGATGTGTATGACATATATGTATCTTTTAAGAGTAGATTGGAGCTTGTCTGCTACTCTCTGGATTCTCAGTGAGGTCTTTTGCTGACAGTGACAAATGTGAGGTGTAGGTTGAAGGCTTAAGGAAAGTGGTGAAGCATTAGAATCATTATTAGAAAAATGGGACAGGATCAGAAAAAAGTCAAATCAAAGGACTTGAAATATCATAAATCCCATTGAAATTAGAAATAATACATTGTGCTGGCTTCAGTCACTGTTATTGAATAAATATACTTCCTGTAGTACCAGTTGCCTTAGACTATTTATTACAATAAATAAACAAATAAAAATCATCCATTTGCTCACATATTCAATAATACTGACTGATAAGCACTATGTGTCTGGCACTACTATGGGTACATGGGCTGTAGCTGTCAAGAGAATTCAGCCCCTGCCTCATGGAATTTGCATGACAATAAGGAGGTCTTGGTCTCACACTTCAAGGGGGTCCATCACCAAAGAGGGCTAGAAGAGACAACCAGAGGAGAATGCCTTGTGGTCTGGATTAGGCCATGTCAACTCCCCTGGTCCTCAGTCTCTTTGTCTATAAAGCAAGGAGACTGAATTAAGCGTTCTCTCGATCCCCTTCCCCTCCCTCTCCACGCCAACATTCTTTGCTTCTGAGAAAGTGAAGAGTCTGGAATTGCTGGGGGAACTGGGAAAGAAAGATGTTGTATGCCCACTTGAAGCCAGGTGCTAGGCTAGTTGGTTTGCACATGTTTTCTTTTATAGGCCTCACGTGTAAATTAGGTTTCAGTCAAGGTAAGTAAATTGCTATGGTTGCACAATGGAACTTGGATTCTAATCCACATGTGCCTGACTTCAAAGCCTATTCCACTAGACTCCTCTGCTTCAGAGGGAAGAGAAGGCAAGAAGATGGAGCAGATAGTGTCAAGGATCTGGAAGCAGATTTGTTTTATTCACTACAAAGGACCAGTGGATGAAAGTACAGGAAAGGATATTTTGGCTTAATGACAAAAAGACTTTGATGAAAACTGGAATTGTCCAACTATTGTTTCCTTCAAAATGCAGCAATTTCTCACCAGAACTATGCAAGTTGAGGGTTATTGAATACCTCCTATGATAGCTTGGAAAGCTGTTCCTTTCAATTCGAAGTTTCTATGAGTCTCTTAAATATTTTTTTTAACATCACCCATATATTTGTTTCTCTCCCTTCCCTGTACTTTTTTCCCCTTTCACCTCTTAGCATTTGTTTTTCTCCCAGTCATTTGGGTAGATGTTCCTTGGCATTGTTGGCATTGCAAAGAGGCTACTTCCTAACCCTTTTTCTCTAATTAGACAGCGAGGTATGTGTTGAGACCATTAACTGAATTTGGAAAGAACAAGTCTGTTATTATCTAAGACTCTCAGAAGATAACCTGTACTCTGAAACAAAAAATCTTACTCAGAGAAGAACTTCTTGGTCACTTATATCAACTGGAGGACCCTACGGAGGCCATCTTGCATGAAGGGGAGCTGTGTCAGAATTTACAATGATTGGACCAATTTTATCAAAGGCCTTGACATCTTGCTTCAAGTACATCCATGAAAGCTGTCACAGTTGTGTTATCCCTAGAAGACTGTCCACAAGTAGGGCACAATGACCTCCTTTCCTTTCCTAGTGAGCATCCGTACTTACTGGAAAGCAGTATCTCTAGGACTCCCACAACATTTGCAGTGACTATGTTCAAAACTGCACTGCCTTGCCTGGGAAAACAGTGCTGACATGCTCAGAGGATTCTCTTAATAGGACACATAGCTAGGGTGACCAGCTGTCACGGCTTGGTCAGGACTAAAGAGGATTCCTAGGACATGAGATTTTTACTGTTAAAATTGGGAAAATTCTGGGCAAACCGGGATGAGTTGGTCATTCTACACCCTGTACACCCTACACATGAGTCCAGCTAGAATGTGCCAATTTCTCCAGCCTGAGGCACTGTGCAAGAACAATTTTAATGATCTTTTATAAGAATGTATTATTCAACAAGGGAGGGAGAAGATTAAATATTTTAGTCTTATAATCAAATCTGGCTCCTCCTGAAAACATGAAGCCCATAGTTACTCTAATAAGTGGCAAGGATGAAAACCAAGTAAACAGTCTCTGGTCCAAGACATGAGAGACTACCATTATCAAAAAGCATCCCAAAAGTAGTTAGCAGTTAGTCGAATAACAAACATGGGCTGGTTTTACTCATGGCAAGAATTGCAAGTGAACAAAAGCATCATTTCTCACCTGATGAATTTATGAGCCAACTGTTCCACAAAGTAATAGATTTCATTCCAGTGGTGTAGCACACTTCCTGATCTGGGAAAACAAAAGCAGATGTTGCTTGACTCCGGTGTTCATGTGTCTTTTCCTTGTATTATTTCTCTTCACATTCTGTTATTTTGGTATTTGATCTAGCCATTATCTAGACTCATTATTTGCAAACTATATAACTTGGAAATTATTTTAAAGGCTACTTAAACCTCCGTTAGAGTTCTTATTAAATAACTCCTTCACTTTACCTTCTACTATGCCCACTCCACAAACCCAAACAAACCCTGAAAAAAAACAAACAAGCCCTGGGCCCCAAAAGATTCACAAGTGATTTTCACATCTTTGAGAAACAGTTATTTTTGTGCTATGTTAACAATCTCTCTGATTGGGGAAGAAAAACTATTCCAATTCATTCAAATGAAGTTGGCATAAACTAAGATAAGCAAATGCCACACCCCAAGAGTCAAATTTCATTTGTAAAAACAGATGCAGAATCTCTAATTAAACTATTAGCGAAACTAATCCAGCAGGAATCCAAAATAATAATAATTAATAAACTGGTAGAGTTTATTTCAGGAAGATGCTGATAGTTTAACAATTAAGAAATTCTAATGTAATTAGTCATAATAAACAAAGAAGAAAAACTATACAGGCTTTGTTATATTAAAAAGGGGTCCTCCTACCGACAAAAGAGGGATACTGTTTCCCTAGGACATGAGGAATCACAGATTTTAGATTTAGAAAGGGGCTTCTTTATTTCCAAGTTTGACTTCTGTTTCACTTGAACCATCTCCTATAGCTTTAATTCTGCTTATAAGTATTTTCCACAGTGCTGGTACTCAGTTTGTTGCAGTGGGTTCCTGTTAGTTTTTTTTTTTTAATTGAAACCCACTCTTTTCTGTAGCTGTGATGCCTTCTTCCGTCACCAGAGACTCTATTTCAGCTGAGCTCTGCATTTCTGCCTGCCATTCTAATAATTGCTGAGGTTAGAGTTTGTTTCTTCTACTTAGACATTTATATTGCAAACATTTTCCACTGGTTTCTGATTACTATTATTTTTTAGGTACTCGCAATTTACAAATAACTTCAAGGAAATTATTTGCTGCTATTTTTCTTTGTTTCAAACTATATTATAGATTTTTTTTTTTTTTTTTGAGTTGGAGTCTCACTCTGTCGCCCAGACTGGAGTGCAGTGGCTGCTCCCGGCCACCGCAGCCTCGACCTGCTGGGCTCCGGCGATCCTTCCGCCTCAGCCTTCCGAGTTGCCGGAATTACAGGCACGCACTACCACGCCCGGCTAATTTTTTTTTTATTTTATTGTAGAGATGAGGTCTAGCTGCCCAGGAGAGTCTCGAACCGTGGGCTCAGACAATCCACTCACCTCAGCATCCCAAAGGCGCGGGATTACAGGCTGAGCCACCAAGCCCGGCTATTATAGACATTTAATAAGATTTTTTTGCCTTCCTTTTCATGGTCCAATATTCCTAAGAATTCTCATTTGGGTTGGACATATTCTACCTCTATAAGGATAATTTATTTTTCTCTGCTCCATATCCAGAAATGATATATTTGTCTGACCTGAACAAAAGTAGTACAATATGGTTAGGTCATGCAATGAAAAACTCTATGTCACAAGGATGTCCCACTTTCCCTAAGTTAATCTATTAACTTCAATTATGGGAAAATCCTTAAACTTAAAAACTGATTTTAAAAATAAAATTTAAAAGTTTTAAAGCAGTTAGAGCAATTCTGAAAAGGAAGAACAAGGAGAAAAGAGCTTGCCCTATCAGACTTAATGACCCTAAACACATGACACATGATATAATAGTAGAGTCAATGGGATAGAATAGGGAGCCCAAATGCCAACCTATGTGAGATCTGACTATGTAGTGAAAGAGGTTGTTTTATGGAAGAGGGAGGTTAAACCCTTTAATAAATGATGCTGAGAAAATTGGGCTCCTAACTGAGAAAAAATTCAGATCAGAACTTCATACCAGATGTAACCCTAGAAGTATTAAAAAATGAATGAGAAACGCACAACATTAAATCTGTTGTATGAATTATAGATACGTATGTCCTCAATTCAGTGAAGGGGTTCTTAAACCAGATACAGAAAGTAGAAATTGTTTCTCAGGAAAGAGATAATTTTGACTTCCTGATGTGTCTAAATTTTGGAATGACAAAAAGACACCATAAACTAGCCAAAAGACAAGAAAAGAATGAGAGATGTTCACAACAAATGTAAGAGGCAAAAGATTAGTGTCTAGGATATGTGAGTAGCTGGTACAAGTAAATATCAAAATGGTAAACAATAGAAAAATAGACAAAGGATCAAAATAGGCAAGTCCTTGAAGGGTGGTAAATAAGCATATGAAAAAAATTAAACTCCTCTAGTAAATAAAGAAATGTTTATTTAAACAATTGTGACATACGACTTCATACCATTCAAATTGGCAAAAATTAAAATGTCTGACAATCCTAAGTGTTGGTGAGAATATGGGTAAATAGGAATGCTCATACATTGCTGATAGATATGGAAATTGAAATAGCTACTTTGGAGGGCAACTTGGCAATACATAATGAGGTTAAAGAGAAGCATTTCCTATGACCAGCAACTCTGTTTCTTGGTTTATACGCTCCCATGCAAATAAGGGAATGTACAGAAGGATTTTGTTGTAGTGATGGTCATTGTTCCATTGTTTGTTAGAGAAAAAAAAATATAAATAACCTGTATATCCATCAGTAGGTAATTTCTGTGAATATATTCATACACATTATTTCTTGAAAAAATAAAAGTGTGAAAACTATGTTAACATTTGCTCATTTGATGTGCAGAACTCATGAGTGCCCATTATATTATTCTTTGTTCTTTTTTGAAGAACACAGATTGTTCTAGAATCTCATAAAGTAGACTGTACACAGTGAAAAGATAGGATTCAATCCTGGATCCCTCTTCACTTATGAGAAATATTAATTATACTACAGCACATTATATTTTCATGTGCTAACCTCAAACCTTACTTTGTTTGATATTTTTTTTTTTTGAGTTGGAGTCTCAGTCTGTCACCCACACTGGAGTGCAGTGGCTGCTCCTGGCCACTGCAGCCTCGACCTGCTGGGCTCTGTCGATCCTTCCGCCTCAGCCTTCCAAGTAGCTGGAACTACAAGTGTGCGTTGCTACTACGCCCGGCTGATTTTTTGATTTATTGTAGAGATGAGGTCTCGCTGCCCAGGCAGGTCTTGAACCCGCGGGCTCAGGCAATCCACTCACCTCAGCCTCCCAAAGGCGTGGGATTACAGGCTGAGTCACCGAGCCCGGCTCAAATCCTACTTTGGATAATTTGTGATGATAATAGGCATGACCAGTGATAGAAAAATAATCCTGGGAATTTTGTATTTCTTAATAACTATTAAAAATAACATCACCCAGCACCATTCTGTGCTCTTCCAAAAATTCAAAGTTGAGTGAGAAAGACAGAAGAATTAAAGTGCAGCATGTGGTGACACGTGATGCAGTCGAGATCTGTGCATCTGGAACAATGAAAAGAAAATGGCTCATTCTACTTGTGCAGGCTTGGAAGGGGTGTGGTCTTTAAACTGGATCTTGAAGGACAGGTAGAAACTTGTGAGGAAGGCAAGGGGAGAAAGAGCATCTTTGGCATAAAACACCGAAGCTGCCAAGACAGGCTATACCTGGCGAAGAGCAAGTAGTTTCATGTGGAGGCACCATGGAGCCCTTAGAGAAAGTGGTGAGGAGGCGTTGGGGGTTCCTCCTGCCAAAAGCAACCCTTTTCAGTTCCACTTGCTCAGCCTTTATACATATTCCATCTGCTTGGGACACTCACTATTCATACTGGCAAACTCCTCCTCATTCTTCAATACTCAGCTCAGTCTCTCATGCTTCTGACCAATACAGACAGGGCTCATTGCCCTTGCCTCATGCTCTTAGGGTACTGTGTACATCTCTCTGTCAGCACCCTCTGGTATTGGGTTACAGATGGTCTTAAAGAAATTTACCTCCTGAGAATCTACCTGTTTGATGGATGAAAAAAAAGAAGGCATGAAGAGGAGAAGCCTCAATTGCTTATGGAAACCTCTTGATCTTTTGCCACCTTGGCTTGGATAAATACCCTGGCTTTGGGACTCAGATGGCTCCAGCCAAGTCTTGTGATCCTATGTAAACTAAGGAGCCTTCAAAGATGGGTCATTAAATTTAGAGTATAGATCCTTGGTGACTGGGACTACCTAATCATCAATAATAGATCTCTGAGCTGAACAGCAGCTGAAGTCTCCCATGGGCGCACCCAAACTACACATCCTAGCCCTGGGATTTTAAAGCTTTAGAAATCCTCTTGCATGAAGACCCGGCCATCTTCCTAGACAAGCTTTACTTGTATATTTCAAATTGCATGGACTGCTCCTGGCTGCTCTCCTTCAGTCAAGGGGGTGAATGCTCTGGTCCTGAGAGTCCCCTGTGAGGGTCTGGCAGATATGGTCCAATGCTGTCCAGGTGCCTCAGAAGAGGCACCGCATGACTAGCTATAAGCCATAGTGCAATCCAGAATTATTATTATTATTTTTTTTGAGTTGGAATCTCACTCTGCCACCCAGACTGGAGTGCAGTGGCTGCTTCCGGCCACCGCAGGCTCGCCCTGCTGGGCTTCAGCAATCCTTCCACCTCAGCCTTCCAAGTAGCTGGAACTACAGGTGCGCGCTACCACACCCGGCTAATTTTTGATTTTTATTGTAGAGATGAGGTCTCACCAAGTTGCTCAGGTGGGTCTCGAACCCGTGGGCTCAGGCAATTCACTCATCTCAGCCTCCCAAAGCGTGAAATTACAGGCTGAGCCACCGAGCCTGGCTGCAATCCAGAATTCTACAACTCCTTTCCATTGCAATCAAGACATTTCCTAAAACACCAGCCATCAGTCCCCACTTCTGAAATGCAATGCTATTTTTTTGGCCCATGCAACCAGTACAATTAATCTCTGAAATTTTGGTTACTGAGGGGTAGGGTAAAATGACTAGGGAGGTATCCCACACCT